CCTATATAATTTATATAATAACCATTATATATATTATATATAATATATTATAATTTAATATATAATATATTATATATTAACCATTATATATGTATATTAACCATTATATATATATGTTATATATATATATATATATTAAATTATATAATATATAATATATATATATAACGGTTAATATATATATGTAATATAATGTATATTATATATTATATATTAACCATTATATATATATGTTATATATATTATTTGATATGGCATAATAGTAAATTCAGTGATAAAGTAATGGCATAATTGTAATTCAGTTATAAAATAAGGGTATAATGGCCTAATGGTAAATTCAGCGATAAGGTAAGGGTATAATGGTAAATTCGACGAAAAAGTAACACCGTCAGTAATAAAGTAACAGTGTTAACATCAAAGGGCGAGTATGCACGCAGATATACAATAGAAGGGGCTTGACACAATTTTTAAATTACGAGGGAAAAACACGCAGATTTAATATATTACAGGAGGGTTTGGTGCAATTAACCCAAAAATGTTGTGAGCCAAAAAGAAAATAATATATTACAGGAGGGTTTGGTGCAATTAACCCAAAAATGCTGTGAGTCAAAAAGAAAAAAATAATATATTACAGAAGAAGGGTTTGGTACAATTAACCCAAAAATGCTGTGAGACAAAAAAAAAAAATCGCCCACCGTGGGGCTCGAACCCACGACCACAAGGTTAAGAGCCTTGCGCTCTACCGACTGAGCTAGACGGGCTGTTGCTCTTCAAGGTGAACAGTGCTTTAACAGCGCACGCTGTCCACTAACATTGTGTACAATTGTTCAATATATATATATATATATATATATTTTTTATGTATGTTACATGGCAAGTTATGCTTTTGCTTACTGATTATGTGACACGCCAGCTTTTGTGTGTGTTGGGCTGCCGTTGACTGACTCTTGGTCATTCACGATTAAATACAGGGACAAATGTAAGAGTGTGATTGGATACATCCTTTTTTATAATATTTTGATTTATCTCTTTTATTTTTCATTTTTTCAGTTTTTTTTTTTTTATTTTTCATTTTTTCAGTTTTAATTTGATAAAATTATAAAATGTGTTGGTGCAACTCTATCCTATATTTTTTTATTATTTACTAAGGAATACACTACAAAAATTTTTATAACAGATCAACTATCCCGACGGTTATATGATGATCTAACGGTTACAAAACTCAATGTAATGATTTTATAACGTGATCATAGCATCTCCCCAAAATTCAATGCACCAACTTATCAAAATCATAAAAGATACCCGTTTGGCAAATTACAAAACCAAAATAAAAAAAATAATACACTAATTTAATAAATTGGACATTTTAGTATTTTCTTAGTTACTGAACATTTTTTTTTTTTGGTACAAAGAAGGAGGCAAGTGCCTTAAACTACGATCCGTCGAGGGTGGGCGATCCCTAAAACATCATGATCTAGCCACGGTTTCACCTCCATGGGAGGGTCTTCAAGTATGTGGAGTCCGCCCGGCATTGTCGATGCTAGGGAAGCAAGGTAATCCGCTGCAAAGTTTACTTCGATGAACATGTCGAAGATCAATTGTCCATTCTTTTGCCAATAGCTCCTTAATGCCTCAGATCAGGCTGCTATGAATTCCCGTGTGATCGCTCTCATGCAACACCATCTCTACGACATTTTTGTTGTCCACTTCCGCAACTACCATGCGGTACCCTGTTTTCCAAGCCAAATTCAATCCTTGGAGTAGCCCTCAAAGTTCTGCGCGCCCAGGATCGAACAAAATCCTATGTTCATTGCAAACCCGGAAACCCACCTGAACATTTTCTAAAATCCACGGCTTGCCCTAAATTATTGAGCATATTTTACAATTTTAACCTTTTGTGGCGTCCTCGCCGTGTATTTAAACATGAGCTCAGGTTATAATATTTCTTGCACAAAACTCGAGTAAAAGGAAACTCAGTATCTCATTTTACAGTAGACTTAGGTGCTCCTTATTCTCCATCTTCTTCCATGTGATGTTTTTTTTCCTAATTTTAGACAATGAAGGGTATGTATTTTAAATTCATATTATTATTATTTTTTTTTTTGGTACAATTTGAATTCATATTATTGACTCTAAGCAAATCTTGATTTTGTAGAAGCTTTCATTATGGAGTCAATGCTCATTAGTGGAGTCAATTTTTCAGCCCCCCCAAAAAGCTGATCAGAGTCCGATCGGCCCCAAATATCCGAGGTTCTTGAGTGTGACGACGTGCCCGTTATATATCGACTTAAGTTGCCGAGATAAAAGCCTCATCGTCAAACAAATCGGTGATGCCTGTCGGGAATACGGTTTTTTCCAGGTTAATATTAACTTCTTTCGAGCTTACATGTTGCTTTTTTTTTCTTTTCCGATTCCTGTTAATTATTTAGTTCGACTTTTTTTATCAAGGTGATTAATCACGGCATGTCGAAAGAAATGGTTGACGATATGCTTAGTGTTGCTCGTGAGTTCTTTAATTTGCCGGTGGAGGAGAAAATGAAGCTTTACTCAGACGAGCCTTCCAAAACCACGAGACTCTCGACTAGCTTCAACGTGAAGAAGGAGAAGGTTCGCAATTGGAGGGATTATCTAAGGCTAGATTGCCATCCTTTGGCAAAATTCGTGCCGATTGGCCTTCGAATCCTTCGACTTTCAAGTGAGTTATAAAATGCACATATATGTAGAAATTATCCTTGTCATTTCTCGTGCAACGAGTCTTTAAAACGAGATTTTTTCTTTTTCTTTTGCGCGATGCGTTTTAGGAATGTCGTAAGTAGCTACGGCACGGAGATTCAAAAGCTCGGTTTTTGGCTACAAGAAGCCATATCTGAGAGCTTAGGATTGGAAAAAGACGGTCTAACGAGTATACTCGGAGACCAAGGTCAACATATGACCATCAACTATTATCCCGTGTGCCCGCAGCCCGAACTCACGTTCGGGCTACAAAAGCATATAGACCCGAACACAATAACAATTCTTCTTCAAGATTCGGAAGTTATCGGGCTTCAAGCATGTCGCCTTACTGTCATGACTCATGGTGGGCAAAATTGTATTTTTATTCTTGTTGGTTTTACATCATGACAATTTTAATGCCAAAGTTCAAGCATGTCGCCTTCCTGTCATGACTCATGAGATTTAATGTTTTGCAGGACTGAAATTGCAACAAATTTTAAAATTCATTAATTTTCGATTAGCAATTTAAGTCTTCAAATGACTGAAATTGCAGCAAAAGATTAAATCACGGGACCAAAAGCTGAAAAGTTGAATTATTTAGAATAAAATTGCTATGACGTTAAACCAATAGAACTTAAACTATATTTTCACCTAAAGTTAGTTAATTACAAGAAGGGAGCATAATTTGATCAGAATTTGAACTTTATGACGTTCTTATATTATGCATTGAGTAATGGAAAGTACAAAAGCGTTTGGCATCGGGCTGTAGTGAATGCCGATAAGCCAAGGCTCTCGATAGCTTCTTTCCTCTGCCCGTGTGATGGTGCACGTATTAGTGCACCGAAGGGTCTTATGTGTGGAGAAAGTCGAACCCTTTATCGAGATTTCACGTACGCAGAGTATTACGATAAGTTTTGGAGCCGGAATTTGGACCAAGATCATTGTTTAGAGCTGTTCAAGAACTAGCAATTTGGTCTTCACTTTTTTATGTGGATTGATTGAATGCATTATTGGTTGGGTAGTCAAGGTTTGATGGTGATATTCAATGTTTCATTTTGTATTTCATTTTGTATTGTTGAGCGTGTGTAATAACATATGTATGCAAGTTGAAGACTTGTGGTGACAAAAATAATAAAAAAAAAAACTAAGAGCAATTGGATGAGATGTCTTGGGTCTCTTCCAACTTAACCAGTGGACTCGTGTTCGAGTCCTGAGAATACAGCAGTGTTAAAAACTCTTGAGAGAGAGATTTGCCGCCATTGTGATCCTACCCGGCTCGATTCCGGATTAGTTGGTTCCCCTGTGAATTCGGAAACCGGAAGGTCCCTGTACCAAAAAAAAATAATAATAATAAAAAAACATAATGTTATAAATATGCAAAAACTTGTCTTCGATTAATTGAATGGATTATGGGACTTTGTATATTATTATTAACAGCTGTGCTGCAATAGTTCATGATTATTAATTAGTCCACGGGACTAAACCTTATCACATAATTTCCTGGATAATTACACAAGACTATGGAGATACTACGGTCCCGTTACTGAACCATTTTATCGGGGTTTGTAACTATTTGATCAATAATCCCCGACGATTACAAGATGATCTAACGACTACAAATTCCGACGGAATAGTTTCGTAATCGAACCATAGTATTTCTCCTAATTATAAACTAAAATAGAAATAGATAAACAAAATTGGGCCTTCAATAACTAGGCCCAAACAAAAAATTCTTTTATGTGGCCCTAATCTTCTTCGCAGCCCCTTTCCTTCGTCGACCCAATAACTCTCAACCCATTTCCCTTCCCTTTCAAGCCCAAGTCTCCGTATATCGGGTAAAAAAAATATTCATTTGATAAGGTGTTGTACCAAAAACAAATAAAAAGAAAACCAAAATTCGAACATTAATATCAACTAATATATTTTCATGATTTCGATAGGTAAATGAACGAAATTTACCGAATGAATTTTTCGTAAATTCTGCAACCAATCTCATAGGTGTTTGGACCATGCAATGCAACCAACCCAATACGTATCCAAATTAACTTAACTTTGTTTGATTCCTTGGTCATTGGACTCATACTCGAACCGTGAAGCCCATGGGCCATAGTTATCTAAGTCCCTAACTATCCTATATTTGATTCCTTGGTCATTGGACTCATATTCGAACCGTTAAGCCCATGGGCCATAGTTATCTAAGTCCCTAACTATCCTATATTTGATTCCTTGGTCATTGGACTCATATTCGAACCGTGAAGCCCATGGGCCATAGTTATCTAAGTCCCTAACTATCCTATATAGACATCTCTCGGTCTAAAGTGAATAAATCATTTTATAGCCAAAAAAAAAAAAAA